TACCTTACCTTACCTTACCTTACCTTATGTTACATTACATTACCTTACCTTACCTTACCTTACCTTACCTTACCTTACCTTACCTTACCTTACCTTACCTTACCTTACCTTACCTTACCTTACCTTACCTTACCTTACCTTACCTTACCTTACCTTACCTTACCTTACCTTACCTTACTTTATCTTACCTTAACTTAACTTAACTTACCTTACCTTACCTTACCTTACCTTACCTTACCTTACCTTACTTTATTCCTGGTCAGTAGTTCCAGGCTGCCCCATAAGTGCTACAGCTAGCTGCTGCTGTCCTGTTTTAAATAATCACTTCTGTAAAAAAAAAAAAAAAGGAAGAAATATTGATATAGTTATTTTGTAAACACTGGACACCATCATGCTTTGTTCATCTCCACTGTAAGAGTTTATAKCAGATAAACGCACACCGTTTAAGTTCATTTATTAACAAAACTAAATCAATAAAAACAAGACTCTGCAGAGAAGAAATGCCCTCGTGGTATTGTTGAACAGTTTCCCACACGGTGGGCCTTCCGCTCCGAAATGACACACTGCCACACTTTCCCACGCACGCGAGCGCCTCCTCAAAGCGCGCGGCAGAGGGGGGGGTGGGTGTGGAGCGCGCGCGCTCTGCTCACGGGGCACGAGGCGGGCCGACTCCGGGGCTGAGGATCATGTGTGGTMCACGCGCTGGAGCTGGGTTAGAGCGGAGCGCGGAGCTGGAAGGAGCTGACAGAAGGAGGAGGAGACGAGCCAGCCCTTTTTTTTCTAGTCTTATTTATTCTTTATTCATTCGATGTCATTTGATTACAAACAGCTGAGAGGGCAGACAGAAACAACAAACACAGATCGGTTCTTTTGATTTGGTTTGATTTTGAAAGAGTTTGGAGAAAGAGTCCAGTCCCCTATGAGGAGTCGTTGTTGTGAGTCCGCTCAGCTGCTCCGCTCWGGAGCGATTTACTTTAAAACATCTCGTTTTTGCGCTTGGAGTTAAACGTACATGTTGAGAAGAGCTGACTAGACTTCACCGCCGAAATGAAAGGTGAGTTGATGTTGTTCTTTTTGTTGTTTTAACAGTTATTTTAGTAATATTTTATAGGTAGGCTGGCAGCCGGTGTTGGAGCAGCAACTTCTCAGGTCCCAGTCCAAAGTGCGTGAGCTGCAGAAAAACACAGCAAACATGCACAAAATCAAGAAATAATATTAATAATAATTATGTAAGAAGAATTAATCGTTTTTAGCATATTAAATAAATGATTTAAAATAGCTAAAACGTGCAGAATTTAGTGTTAAAAACATTTTCCCCCTCATAATTATGTTTGTAATGAATCACTTTATAGTTCGATTATAACTGAAACTCTTGTTTTGCTTGGCTGATAAAAGTGAGATCTTTTTTTATTTATATTTTTTTTCTTTGTTATCAGCAGCTAAGCCTCTGACTGCAGTTATGTAAGACTGAGGGGAGGGAGGTRGAGAGTGATTCACGCGCTGTCAACTCGGATTAAAATCTGCTGGCAGGGATTGTTTATGTAACTCTGCTTTCTTTCATGTATTTTAATCTGATTAACTTCTTTAAATGTGTAGTTAAAGCGAGGTGTTTGTGTGAGACAGTCATTTTTGTAGCTTTTTTTTTTTTTTACTGGTGGAAATGTTTGCTTTAATGCGATTTCATGAAGTCACAGTTTGCTGATCAGCTTGGGGGTTTTTGTTGTCATTTTGTTGACCAGTGAGAGCCAGGAGCTGCTCCATTGACCTAGATTTGTCATTGAAGATTTGTGTGTGTGTGTGTGTGTGTGTGTGTG